ACCTCTCCGTAGGAACTGGCCGACCTGAAGCACGTACATGGCAAGCTGAAGAAGCAGGTCCAGGAAAAGGTGGCAGAGCTGACCCATGCCAATCGGCGTGTGGAGCAGCACGAGGCTGAGGTGAAGAAGCTGCGGCTGCGCGTGGAGGAGCTCAAGAAAGAACTGGCCCAGGCCGAGGATGAGGTGAGTACCCAGGGCAGAGAGCAGGTGGGCAGCAGGTGGGTGGGAAGGAAAGATACAAGGTGAATGAGTGGGTGAGGGTGAGTGAGGACTCCTGGATGGGCCAGAGAGGGAGGGAGGACTGCCAGAAGTGGTGGCTGGACGATGGATGTGCAAATGGATATGTAGTGAGGGTTTGTAGTAGCTTGGTATGTGCTGAGGGCTGGGTAGTTGTCCCTCTGGGCTGCCAGGTGGGGAAGGCAGGGGGATGTCAGGAGAGGGAGGAGGGGAGGGCAGCAGGGATGGACCGGACCCAGTGGATGACTGGACCTTGGTGACTGTCATGAACTTGACCCTTACTCACTCACAGCTGGATGAAGCTCACAACCAGGCCCGGAAGCTGCAGCGATCCTTAGATGAGCAGACGGAGCAGAGCGAGAACCTGCAGGTGCAGCTGGAGCACCTACAGTCCAGGTAGGCCGTGGCAGGCAAGCCAGCAGGAGAGGGGACCCCCCCCCCACAGGGCCCAGGGCAAGCCCAGACCCTGGGCGGAAAACATGGTCAGGGCTGGAGCCCCCAAGAGGGCCAGAGGGGATGGTCCAGAAGGAAGAGATCTGGGGAGCCAGAATCCTGTCCCCCTCCAGGCAGGAAGGGTCACAGCCAGGAAACCAGGAGGGGCTGCATGCAGGAAGCGAGCCCAGCTGGGGACCCTGGGTGGAGTGAGGTCAGGAAGGGCTGCCAAGGAGGTTTCTGCCAAGGCCAAGACTGCCGGAGGCGGGGCCAGCAGGGCTGGGAGTCACCAACAAGAATAGGCAGCCCCAGGGCCACAGGGCCTCAGATATCGCAGAACAGCAGGGATGTGAAGGGTTGCGGGGAGATCAGGGAGAGGCAGAGGGCTCCTGCTTTGAAGGCCGATCGCCCCTGGAGGTCTGAGGGTGAATGATCAGCCCACTTCACCACTCCCTTCCTCTTCCCATCCCGCCCCATTGCCCCCTCCTTTATGAGTTAGCCTGGACCCTGCACTTCTCCTGAGCCAGGAAATGTCACAGACATTCAGATCCAAGTGTCCTCTTCAGCCTAGAAGCCTGGGGGAGGTGGCCACAGCACTGTGTCCTTACCCTCAGACGAGGGACCTGAGTTCAGGTTGGGAGAGCAGGGAGGCTGGGTAGTCTTGGAATGCTTTGTATCACTGGGTCTGCTTGGTTTCCCATCTGGAAAATGGGATTGATGTGGTTCTGTATTTTATTTTATTTTTTGCCAGTCCTGGGGCTTGAACTCAGGGCCTGGGCCCTGTCCCTGAGCTTGAGCCACAGCGCCACTTCTGGCTTATTCTGTTTATGTGGTACTGAGGAATTGAACCCAGGGCTTCATGCATGCTAGGCAAGCACTCTACCACTAAGTGACATTCCCAGCCCTGTATTTTATTTTCATTTTTAAATTTCTTGGATAGGGAGCTGGGAAGGTGACTCAGTGGTAGAGCATTTGCCTTGCATGCATGAGGCCCTGGGTTCAATTCCTCAGCACCACATAAGCAAAAAGCCGGAATTGGCGCTGTGGCTCAAGTGGTAGAGCGTTAGCCTTGAGCTGAAGAGCTGAGGGACAGCGCCCAGGCCCAGAGTTCAGGCCCCACGACTGGACCCAAAAAAAAAAAATTTCTTGGATAGTCTGTATTCTCAGCTGGTACTCTACCATGTGAGCCACACCCCCATCCCAGCTTTTTGCTAGTTAGTTTGGAGAAAGATCCTAGGACTTTTTCTGTCTTATCTGGGTTAGCCTTAAACTCCTGAGTAGCTAGGATTTCTAGGTGTGAGCCACCACTACGCGGCTTGATTGGCTTGATGGTGGTTCTTACCTCCTATGAGAATTAAACCAGCTGATCCATGCTCCTAAAAGCACCTGCAGGTAAGTACTGAGTCACTACTCTTGCCAGCCTCATTGCCGACCAGGGGAGGGGCTTAGGCATGGGTTCTGTGCCCTGCCAGAAGCAGTGGGCCTGTCTAGAAAGACAAAAGGAAAGGAAAGAGGGATCTTTTTTCCTAGGGGACTAGCAGGGAGGAAATGCTGCTCCCAGATGGGGGCCAGGTGGAACCCAAACTCACCCAGTGCTGCTGTGTGCTAAGGTCTTGTGTCTAAAAGGACAGGCTCTGAGCCTCAGTTTCCCCAGTTGCCTGGAGCGATTCCAAGTTAGGTGGCACCTGACTTGGGATTCCAAGTCCAGCGGGCACCCACCCCTTGCAAGGCCACTTAGCCTAGGTCACAGTCCTCAGAGCCCGAAACTTTGGAAATGAGCCACAGCGTCCTGTTTGGCTGCAGACATGCATGTGTGGGGCAGCCGGGACAGCGGGATCCCCAGCACCGCTGTCTGTGTTCAGTTCGCCACTTTTCCTGTTTTAATGTCTGGGACGACTCACTAAATCACCTCGCCGTAATGGAGCCTCCTCTGTACTGTGTTAATAATTCATGCCTTCCAGTAAGATACGCTGGCTGGCCAGCCAGGCGGCCGCTTTGCCGGGGTGGGAGTGGGGGGTCATTTCCTGCACCAGCTCTTCTGCCAGGGGCTGAGTTGGCCTAGTACATTTCGACCTCAGGAATTTTATTCAGGATAGAAGGGCTCTAGATGACCCAAATCTGCTCCCTCTGACATTGAGCCAGCTGGATCCCCTCTCTAAGCCCCCAGCTGCAAATGGAGGTACCTCATAGTGCCTGGCACGGGCATCCACGAAGGAGGGTGCAGCCGCTGTCAGCGCAGCTGCAGCCACATTGTCAGCAAGCAGCAGGGCCAAACTCCTGCCCTGACCTCTCATCACTCCCACCCCACAGGCTCCGCAGGCAGCAGCAGAATGCCCCCCTCTTTGGGAAGATGCGCAGTGCCCGCTTTGGCACCGAGGAGGCCGGGGACGGAGCCAGTGACCTGGATGAGGACGAGGACCTGCAGATCCAGGTGGCCTAGAACCTCCAGGGCTGGGTGGATTGGCCTGAAGCCACTCCAACTGACAGAGCTGCCTGGGCAGGATGGGTGTCCAGACCCTGCCCCAGCCACAGGCCTCTTGCTTCGCCCAGGAGGATGACAGCCGGGCCTGGCAGGGAGGCCTGTTTGATCATATATGTATGTGTACCCAGGACTCACACCCATTTGGTCCTGTGGACATAGGACGGCCTGGCTCCCAGTACAGGTGGGCTCGACCAGCACCTCATGCAGAGGTGGGGCAGGCCAAAGGAGCGTCGTGGGGCCCCAAGCCAGGCTGCTGCCTCTCTAGGTCTTGGCGGTCCAGCGGCAGTTGTTCACAATACGATGTGATAAACCCAGTGTTTTGTAATAAATGGAGTTCACTTTCTCAGAGCAGAGTCCTGAAAGTGTGGCAGATATGGAGTGGGGGTGAGGAGCCAGCATCAGCCTGAGACAGGATCAAGTGTCATTGAATGAGTGAGGGAATGAGTGAATGGACTACCATCAGAGCTTGGGGGGTCTGGCATCGAGCCCCTGTCCAAGGAGGAGGAGGTGTGGTATGCATCTAATGCGGACAAGAGAATACTTCTGGTCGAGCATCTGATGGACTCAAATCTTTCCTTAGCCTCTTACTGGCTGTGCAACCTCAAGGAGGTTACTTGCCTTCTCTGACCCTCAGTTTCTCCATCTAAGATGTTTCCTAGTAGAGTGGGTAATAAATACTAAATAAATCCTCTCAGCTTTCCCTCAGTCTTGCTCTGGGTAGTAAGGTATAGGTGGTGGATTTACCTTGAATGTTTAATTTCTAAGCCATCTGCACCCAGCTGCTTTATACTGAGTTGAGGTGGAAGGGGAGGAGTCTCAATTAGAAACAGGAGCTGGCACTTGAGTCTTTGACCATTGAGGTAGCATTAGGGGCAGCTGCCCTCCTGGTGAGGCCTGTGAGTTGAATTTGAACTCAGCCCCATCCTGCAGGAGCAGGCATTGTGAGAATTATTCACAGGCAGCAATAGTGAGTTCCCTGAGCCCTGGGTATATACAAGGAAAGGCTGGGTCTCAGCCTGGCACCCAGGACAGAGTCTGTTGATAAGGGGGCTTCCTACCAAGGTGGGCGGGTGACAGTTCTCCACGGAGCCCAGCTGGGAGCCAATAAGCAGGTCCCTATGCCAGTGGAGGGGGTTTGCTGCCATGGCCCCCTCCTGGGTGCGGGAGGGAGCCAGACAGCCTTGCGGATCCCCCTGGAGGGCGCTCTCCCCAGGAGCCAGTGCCTGTGTCCTCAGCAGAGACCATTTCCTGCCACGGGGCTTTCTGTTTTCTCTCCCAAACAGGAAGTTAGCTAGGAAAAGGCCAAAAGTGTTGCCCTTTAACCCTGGGGATCTAGGAGCCAGGCTCCCATGACAGCAGCCCAGAGAGACACCTCTTAAGACCTGCCAACCCCAGACACAGAGCAGGCCCTCCAGGCCCCCAGACTCCCCGGCACCTCTACTGAGATAGTGCTAAGTCTGCAAGCAGAGAGCCACCCATCTCTATGTGCACAAAATAGAGGGGCCTTGGGAGGGGAGGGACAGCTCAAAGGCTGCACTTGGTGACCCCTGGGGGCCTGGAATGTATTCTGCCCTTCCCCCCCCCCCATAGCTCCCTTCACCTTCAGCCAAAATCACCCGTGATCTGCTGCAGCTTCTGCCAACAGAAGCATTAGCTCTGGCTCACGTGATGCTCTAGAGAAATCTTTAATGCATTGCTAATATTAGTCATGGGAAGTTTTCACATCAAAATGTGGGTTTCCCTCTCCTCCCATGTCAGCACCTCTGGCTGCCCTGGGTGGGTCCTGCTCAAAGGTGGCCACAGTTGCCCAGCAGAGTGAGGCTGCCCCTCAGCACCTGTGCACCTGTACCACAGTCCCTACCAGCCCCTCTAGCCTTGCTCTTCACCCATCTCCTTCCTGCACACCACTGCCTTACCATGGGAGGCATTTGAGGATGCTGTTTCCTCTGGCCTCATCCAGTTTCCCTTTGAACAGGGAAGAGGGGAAATGCCACACCAACACGCCCCCCCCAACACTGAATAAATAACCAGGCCAAGTCCACTCTCCCAGGCTCCGCTCTATGGGGGTTGAGGACTTGACTGCCAAAGCAGTTAATGTTTATTGCACATTATCCTTCCATTTATGCTGAGATCCGGAAGCTTGGAGAGAGCAAGTAACTATCCCAAGGCCACCCAGCTGCTTTGTCAGGTGGAGTCCAGAGCTGTCCAGGGCCCCCTTTATGGCCCCACCCTCTGAAGCCCCATCCCCAGCCTACCTTCCCAGGCCCCATCATCTCAGCCAGGCCAGATCCCCACCCACTCACCCAGCCAGCCAAGATGGTCCTCCCCCAGCAGAGCCCTGCAAAACCAGGCCTCTTGGATTAGGTCTTTTTTTTTTTTTTTTGGTCGTGGTGCCTGAACTCCGAGACTGGGCACTGTCCCTCAGCTCTTCAGCTCAAGGCTAGTGCTCTACCACTTGAGCCACAGTACCACGTCTGGCTTTTTCTGCTTATGTGGTGCTGAAGAATCAAACCCAGGGCCTCATGCATGCAAGGCAAGCACTCTACCACTGAGCCACCTTCCTAGTCCCTGGATTAGGTCTTAAAAGCAATCCAAGTGGAGCTAGGCACTCGTGGCGCACACCTATACTCTTAGCTACTGTACTTGTAGGCTGAGATCTGAGGATCATGATTTCAAACCAGCCCAGGCAGGAAGTCCATGAGATTCTTTTTTGTTGTTGTTGTTTGTCGGTCATGGGGCTTGAACTCTGGGCTTGGGCACTGTCCCTCAACTCTTCAGCTCAAGGTGAGCACTCTACCACTTGAGCCACAGCACCACTTCCGGTTTTCTAGTGGTTTATTGGAGATAAGAGTCTCACGGAGTTTCCTGCCCAGGCTGGCTTTGAACCATGATCCTCAGATCTTAGCCTCCTGAGTAGCTAGGATTACAGGAGTGAGCCACCAGTGCCTGGCATCCATGAGCTTCTAATCTCCAATGAATCACCAAAAAACCTGGAAGTAGATCTGGGAATGTGGCTTAGGAGTAGAGTGCTTGTCTATGCATGCATGAAGTCCTGGTTCCATTCCTCAGTACCACATAAACAAACAGTTGGAAGTGGCTGTGTGGCTCAAATGGTAGAGTGCTAGCCTTGAGCAAAAGAAGCTCAGGGACAGTGCCCAGGCCCTGAGTTCAAGCTCCAGGACTGTCAAAAACAAAACAACAAACAAAGTGGAAGTAGAGTTGGGGCTCAAAGCAAAAAAGCTTAAGGATGCGGACAGCGCCCAGACCCTGAGTTCAAGCCCTACAACCAAAAAAATAAAAGCATTAGTGTGTTTACTTGTTTCGCTAGAGAATCATCCTAGAAGCCATCACAAGCTGCTGGGCCTGGTGAACGTGCAGAGGGAGGAAGAGAGGGAGGAAGGGAAGGAGGGAAAGAGTGAGGGGTGGAGGACTTCAATGTCAAAAGGCTAAAGCCAGAAGCAGCCCACGCAGCCCCCTGCACTGACTGCAAACCAGTCCTAGATGGGTTTCTGCTCAGCAGCCCAGGGGCTGAATGGGGTGCTGGGCCCAGGCATTCCTCCCAGACCTGGGGTGCCCAGACAGGCTGGAGAACCGGCTGGACCAGCCACAGCAGCGAGCCCCTCCTCCCCCTGCAGTGAGAGTGAGGGGTGGGGGAACTGGCACTGCCCTTGCTCACAGACAAAGTAGATTCGCCCAGGTTGACTACCACACAGTCCCTCCACACCCAGGAGTGAGACACCCCGATCTAACACTCCAGACACACCTGGCTTGCTGTGTGCCTTCTGGTAAAGTCCTGCCCCTCTCTGGCCCTCAGTTTCCCTCTGTAAAATGGGAAGCACGGTGAATAGATTGACCAAACCCACATCCAAAAACAGGACTTTCCTTCTTTTTCTAGCTCTCCCTATGTTCTGCACTCCCTCCCAAGACCCCCGTGCCTTGTCCATCTGGGGACCCCCCCAGCCACTCCAGCCATCCCTTCTGAGGCAGTGGGTGCGGGCTGGAAGCTGAGGCAGCACCCCGGAACCAGCTGTAGCTAAGCCCTGTCCCCACAAACACACACCATCACCACCACCAGCCAGCTCCCCTGCCGACTTTATCTACTAATTGCAGGGTTGTATGATGCCAGCTGCTTCCCAGGCCCCCGGTGGGAGTCTCCCCAAGAGCAGGGGACCCTGGGAAGCCCACAGACCCAACTGTGCTGACATGCTCTCCCTGGCACTCAGTCCCCTCCCTGGAAGGGCCCCCCCCACAAGAGGTGACCAGGAAGCCAGGCCCTTCCCCCACCCAAGCCCAGCTGTGGTCTCCACTCAGGACCTGCTCCCTCCTCATTCGCTCTGGGATCCATCCTGACAGGCTGGCTGCTATGCCCTCCCTCCACCCCCTGCCCTGCCCCGCCCCCATCTCTGCACCTGCCCTGCACCCGGGCACTGGTGACAGCGCCACAGGGGCTTGGAGATGTGCCCCTCCCCATTCAAGTTGTGTGCAGAATCCTAGTCTCCCCAGAAAAGCATCAAGTGAGAGGTGGGCCACCGCAAGATGAGGATGAGGAAACTGAGGCCTCAAGAGGGATGGGACCACCGGTGACAGGATCAGGATTCAGATTGGGAGGATTCTAAAATCTGGCCTGCTGGGCTGCAGCCCTCAGCCTCTGTGCCTGGCTCAGGGCAGGTGCTGGAAAATGGTGGGAGTAGACCGAAAAGAGAGGAGGAGGGAGGGAAAGAGGAAGGAAAGGAGAAAGGGAAGAAAAGAGGAGAGGAGGGAGAGAAGGGGGAGGGGAAGGAGTCTCAGCTATTGATGTGTATCACCTTGCCCTCCCTCTTCCCATCCAGAGCCTCCCTAGGTCCTCTAACTTAGACAGATCAGAGCTGGGGGGCCTCATTATCTAGGAATGAAGGGGTCCAGGGAGCCAAGTGGCTTAATTCAGGGTAGCCGGCCACTCTGGCCTGTGAACCTCACTGAAATCCTCTGCTCCTCTGGCCTTCCATTCACACAGCTCCCAGAAGATGCAGTTTAAGAGGCAGCGCTTGCCTGAAGTGCATGAGGCCCCGGCTCCCAAGCCACCATCACTGCAAAGATAAGAAATCATAGATAAGCAAAGGAGCAGACAAGGATTTGCCCGTCCCGCGACCCCCTCTGGGCTGGCAAATGGGAATACAGCGTGTGCCAGCCTCCTTGGGAACATGGCTGGTGGGAAGTTCCCTCCAATCCCCAGTCCCTGAGGCATAACTGAAAACACAGCCAAGACGAGAGGGGTAGAGGCAGAGGGAGGAGCAGGGGCAGGTGGGGCGCTGCTGTGTCATTTCTGTGATACTCCTGAGCCCGTGAGGCGTGGCACAGGTGTGCCAGCCAAGGCTGAGACCTTCGCAGCCCCTCTGAGGTCTCCTGGTGACCCAGAAGCAGGACTTGAGCCCAGGCCACTCCCCAGAGTGGAGACTCACAGAATACCCTGCATGCAGCACACACACCCTGGCCTGGCCCTGAGGGGCTGAGATCTGGACAGTGTCCCTCCCTCCTGCACCGCAATCCTCACTACCATGGTCCCTGTCCCTGTCCCCATCCCTGTCCAGCTGCTGGCCTCCTTGTTACTCCTTCAACACCGCAAGCCTTTCCTGCCCCAGGGCAACCAGACATGGCTGTTCCTTCTGCCTACAAACAGGCAGTCTTTGTGTGTGTGTGTGTGTGGTTCA